ATCCTATTTTTAATGGGACTTGAGCTGTGTCCAACATGTTGAGTCAGTCATGCAGCCTTTTTAAGGTCTGACAGATTTTCTCCTGTTTCCGAGGCGACAAAAGCAGTTCCTGCCGTGGCAGCAGTCTCGAGAGCAGTTGCGTCGGACTCAAGCCTGAGGTTTATCAGCAAAACTGGGACTCGTCTTAGTCAGCCAGTTCGAAGATGGTCTTGCCATATTGTCTGAGCGGCGGAACAAAATGGCGCAAACGTTTGCTCTCCTCCACGTCAGATGATACCGATTCGGATGGTTACTTGCTTCGTCGTCTGCCCGGATTCGAAGTTAGTCCTCTTGCGGCAAGCCTCCCTCCCATTCCATTTGAGGCACTATCTTTCACACACATTTTCACACGAATTCGTCAATTCTCGCCCCAACTCGACATTTTCTCCTTTTCACACAACTCGCCCATCTTCGTGAAACGGGAAAGGGGTGAGGGGGCACGTACCCTTGCCGATATCTGAAGGGGTCAGGAGGTCGGTGCCGTTGAGCACACCAAGTCCGAGATAGGCCAGACCGTTGCTAGTGCCGAAGGATAAGGGAATGATGAACCAGATCAAACCGCCAATCAGGTAGCCGAGCACGCCCTGGTACGGCTTCGTGGTTGTGCTGACCTGCCAGTAGGACTGGTCAACGAACACGGTACCAAAGTTGCCTGCAGCCGCGGAGACAAACAGGCCGAAGAGGAGGTGAAAGAAGCATGTCAGGGCTCGAAAGGGCACAAGGCAATCAGGCGTCAGGCAGCGTAAAGCGAGTAAAAGAGTGTCAACAAACTGTTCATTGAATAGGCACATGTGGACATGCTCAAAGCGACACAGTATCGCATAAATGCATACCTACAGACTGACTGAACTCTACACAAACGGGACGGAACGGTGAGTCTAGCAGTTCTTAATATGAATGCCTGAAGAAACCCAAGAAAATCTACATTTAAAGGTTGTTATATCCCACTTGAGGTTGTTATGAGATGAGGCGAGTTCGAAACTGCACTTTAATCGGAGAGATAAGCCCTTGTGTGAAGCAAAGCTACGTGAAATTCACTGTCGTCCGGAAGTCCAATCATATTAATGTGGGAAAAACTGTTCTAGCCGTCCTTGAACCACATGCGGTGTCGAGGGAGTAAGTTCTCACTTCAGAATGCTTTGGAGTTGTGGTGAATCGACAGGGTTTCACAGAATCACGTGGAAGTGGAGCTTTCAATTTGTATGAAAAGTGGAGTGGAAAAGATTCGTGAACTTATCGAAGGTATGAATACCAAGATGGTGTGACCTTTTGATTGGTCGCCGTCTCCTTTCGTTGTATAGATGTTGTGTGACCTTGTTTTCGCAACTTGGTCATGTTGGTAGGAAGACTTGGAGGAACGCACCTATTCCAGAGTCCATTGTATGTATAATCATTACCAAAGTCGAAATTTGGATGTGGTACATTTCCAGACGTTTCGTCGGCATCGTCAGTGAGTCTCGCCATTCATAGCACCATACAACAACTCGGCAAAGAGACAAGTGAAGCCAATTTTTCGACCAAATGTGTGCTAAACAATTGTGGTATCTCACCTTCTCATATCCTTCTATCACACCTTCACTGTTACAATTTTTACCGTGCCTATTTCGATGCAGTGGGGTGTGATCCTTTAAGCGGCATTCATGAAAACCTCTCACACTCCCCTTCA